GATGGGAGTGTAAAGTCAGTTAAACATCTTTCTATTTCTATTAAAATAAAAAATAATCATCTTTAAATTATTTTCCAAATGTAACTCAATTGAGTAGTAATTACCTTTGTTGAAATATCAGATAATTCTATTATAACAAATCTTAATCGTATGATTTCTTTAAAACACCTTATGAAATTTGTTGTTTAAAGTTTATCATTTTCTATTGAAAGACATATTAGACAAGCCAAAAATATATTTAAAAGAATTCGATGCTTCAATTAAATCAAAAACTTTACTCAATGACTATTCTATTAAATATATTAATCACGATGAAAATTTAGTTGTTTAAGATATGTTTTATTTATATTTTTATTGTATATAATGATGATTATTTTTTGAATAAATAAATAATGTGAGATCAAATCTTCAATACTTTTTTTTCTGATTTTATTTTAATTAGCAAATAATTAAAGCAAATCTAATTTAATGCAAAAAATTTAGTCAACTAATATAACAGAAGATGCTAATAAATTCTGTAATATTTTATTTCAGTATCATTGAATAGATGTCATAAGGATATGTATATAATGTTGTTTGTCCTATTTTTGGATTGAGTACAATGAAGAAAATTCGAGAATACTATTTTATTAATTTTCGTTGAAAACTGCTATCAATTTTTAGAATATTTTCGTTTTATCATCTCATATCAAACTATTTTATTGTGACTCTTTCAAGATTTTTGTCAGGAAAAAACAGGTTTTCAAACGTATTTTTTTCTTCGTTAATTCTAAGTACTTCGATTGTTTAACCGTGAATTGACGCCGTTATAATAGAATCTATTAATTACTAAACGAAAATTGAGAAGCTAATGATGCTAAAAATGTTGTAAAAATGGTCCTAATAAGAAAAATATCATGAAAATTATCATTTTTCAGTATGGCAACTGAAACATATAATGTTCTGTGAAAAAATGATATTGGTGTGAATATGGTAGCAACATTTACTTTGCCCAGAGAGACACTTCAATGCTAATTGATATTCAGGACCGAACATTTTATAAAGTATCAAATCGTTTTCCAGTTCAGATTCTGTCCATTAAGTAGATCTCATTGAGGTATGAAAATCTTCAAAAGAAGAATACATTTCTTTAAACTTACTGTTGAAATTTGTAGATGTTATAATACGACTGAAGCCTATAACATGGAGTAATTATTACCAAACTCAATAATAATTTTTTGAACTAAAACTATTACACTATAAAATAAGCATGTCAGTGAGAAAGATAAGTTGAGAAGTTTTCTTATCTGACATGCAAGAAACTCATATCTCATGAAGGATGTTGATGTTCTGAAATATATAAATAAGTTCTGATGGTTCTTCAACAATTATTTCTTGTTATATCGCTATGGTAAATTTATTCTATTTATCATAAAACCAATTGTCTTTCCATCGGAAAAGCATATTCCGTGTTGACGACGAACCATCAATGTGATCCAAGGAAACAGAAGCAAAATCGGTGGCGGCGCAGTTTCTCTGTTCAAATTGCGTCGAAAAGAAAAGACTATGTATGTTATCGTTTGTTGCGCATGTATATAAATTCATGATCGATCGAAAAAACGACATTCTCGATCAGTGTCATCATTTTATCGAACTATATTAAACATGAATCGAACGAAACGTCAAAACAATGATCTAATTCAATTTTCAAATAGTAATAAAAAACGAAAATTAGAAAATCAAAGTAAAATATTACATAAATATATATTATATCTAAGTTTTGTCTTTTCGTAGTTCCAGTAACAAGATTCAATTCAAATAAGTAAAATATATATCTGTCATAATATAAATAATAATTCTTTATGAAATATTTGAATATCTTGATGTATATGATATTTATAAAGGATTTTACAATCTTAATAAACGATTTCAAAATTTGGCTATGAATTCAAATGTTTTAACTAAAATCAAATTTTGAAGATTATTATCAGAATATTCTTATACCAAATCGTCATCGAATAAAAATCGTTCGTTTATCATCAAATCCATTTACTACTGATATAATTTTCTCACCACCACGTTCTATTTTAAATTTTATTCATCTTGAAATATTTACTCTTGATAATGTACAAATTAGATATTGAACCAAAGTTTTTTGTTACTTAATAGAGTTGCCAAAATTGTATTCATTAACGATATCTATTATTGGTTATAATCAAACATTAGATCTTCTTTTTTTTTAAATATTTTTTATTTACCAAAATTAAAATATTGTAAAATTGAATATCAAAGTAAAGATAATGATTATGAACTATTTCAACTTTATTTAACTCAAAATGATTCCAGTCCTATTGAATATTTAATAATAAATGGTCGATTTCCATTAAATGCATTTCATAATTAATTATGTTGTCTTCCTAAACTTCAACATTATCAATAAATTCTCTTGCTTTATCTCTTCATTATGTCGAACAAAAAAACTATCGTATATTGAATTAAAATATTTAAAACATATTTCGATTAAACTTGATTTAATTCTTTTTTATCAATTTGAAAAAATTCTTAAAACGTTTTTTTTTAATCATGTTCAAGTTCTACGTCTTACAACATGTTATGATGAGAACTATTTAAATGCTAAATGATGGCAACAATTAATACAATTTTGCATGCCATATTTACATACATTTGATATAAATCATGAAGATTCTATAAAGAATAAAAATTTAACATATGACATAATCAATCAATTTAATTCTTCGTTTTGGATAAAAAAAATGGTTTTTTACACATCAAAATTGTTGGAAGAATGAATCGAATTGTAGTATTCTTTCTTCAACCGCTCCATATCAGTAAATAGAAATTGTTTTTCATTCAGAAACGTCGTACTCACGACCATCTTTTGCGGTAACTGAAGAATATATAGAGTTTGAGAGCTGCAGCTTTGCTCATTCGATAGATAAGATACAAGGCTATTCAATAACAGAAGTAAAATTTATTGATAATCGATACATTTTACTCTAGAATGAAGGCATCGACTAATGTTTATATGTTATTCTCGATACAAGCGAGTGATGATAGAAAAACGTAAAAATTGGTTTCACTTGTGATAAAAATAATTTATTAATGATATCAAATAGTCATTAGTTCATCACACAATCTTTGCAAGCATAGAAATGCTCATTTTGACCATTCCCTTCTAAACAAACAGACACAAGTGAATTTTCATTTTTAGACTCTATTCTTTCTCTTTAGAGAAACTAGATTGATTGTGAAGTTTTAGACAAATTTTGATAAAAATGTGAGATAATTTCACATTTTTGATTGAAAAATATCATAATTGATAAATTACTTACCGATACAGCGAAACTGACATATCGTTAAGTGATTCCATTCTAAAATTAGTCGAAAAAAAAAGAGACTACGCTGACAAGTTTTACCGATTGATTGTATTCTTTTTTATTTAGAAGAAACGATTATATTTATTATTGGAAGCCGGTCAATTTAATATGTTCAAATATTGAAAAAGAAAATTTAAATTCAGTGAAACATCTTTATATAGCTAGTGAAGAAATTGGACATAATTGTGTGAATTATTTTCCAAATGTTAAAACATTATCTATTAAAAATACATTTAGCAAACCAATTGATTCGACTATTGCAACTCTTCAATGTATGATTCCTTTAATGCAATTGACGAAATTAATTATTGAATGTTTTATTTTTCCAATTAAAAACATTATCAATTTATTATATTTGACACCTAATATACATACATTAAGTTTGAATTCATTATTATTGAATGATATGAATAAGAATTCAAAGAAACAAAATGAAATTTTACAATATATATCAAAGAAAAATAAAATACAAAAATTAGTACTTAATTGGAGACGTTCATTAAGTAACATTCAATTTGTTGTTGATTTATTTCCAAGATTAAAATATCTCAAAGTTGAAATGGACAGAAAAGAAATCAAACAAATAATTCAATTTTTATTATCAAAAACTCATAATAAAACACGAAATTTATGTATTTTTAAAGTACCAAAAGTATGTTTAAAACAAACAAAAATTTTAATTAAATCAAAAAACTTACTCAATAGTTATTCTATTAAATATATTAATAAGGATTTACATTTCTGGTGGTGAAAGTTTTCGTTACTTTGGATATACTTTGTTTATGTTTTTGTTCTATATAATCTTAATTATTTTTAAATAAATAAATTAAAAATTGAAATTCAATAACCAGTATGATTTTATATAAATAGCACATCAATAGAACGAAATTTTTTTATAGTGTAACTCAAATAGATTTTTCCCTTGGTATTGTTTTTGTTGTTACACTTCGTTTGTTTTGAAACAACAAATGTCTCTTAGAGTGTAAAAGATGCATTAGGTAAAAGGTAACAATTTTTTTACTATAGGATTGTCATAATGTTGTATTTCTTTTCCTTTTCATTTTCGAAAGACTTGAGAAAAGAGTGTAAGTGTGGGTGTCGAAACTTTTTGCCACATCATTACTTTCCATTCGCTATCAGCATTCTATATCTCTATCTATGCGAAGTTGAAACTATCATTCAAGTAACATTAGTATGTTGGGATATGGATTCATTTCGTTCTAAGTTTCGAATACACTCAGATTCTTATTAAAGTCTATCAAATTATTTAACGAGAAATTCACCTACAGCAACACGCCTGATCTTTTCGTCGTATCCCAAATAGAGTTTCAATCGATGTAAATAAACAAACGAAAAATTGTATCTACGTAAGAAGAAGACATCAGAAAAAAATTTATTATTTTCTATTGATGAAAAAACTTAAATTTCTCATTTCGTTTACGATTTACAATTGTCGACAAATTAAATCTTACAAGAATCGAATGATAGTGTAATATTCGAGCATAGAATCAGATGCTTTGTCCTTTCAATCTGCATAAGTCACAAAGGTTAAAAAAAAAATACATTCTTCTAAAAATCTCAAACTGCAACTCTAAGAACTTTTATAGATTCCTGAAAAGAATAGTTCGAAAATATTTCCTATTAAAAAATGAAACATTCGATTTCTCTTAAGTGCTTTGTGTATAAGATTTAATTAGTATTAGAAACAAATTTAACACTAGAAAAAATACGTTATTCTATATCAAATATTTTTTTCTAGATTTATATAAGATGTGAATTACTAAGATGATAAAATTTAGAAAGTTCTCGTTTATTCAACGTGAACAAAAGAACTTCTACTATGTTAGATTACCAACCAAACATTTTCTTTATGATATTTTTCTTGGAGTTTTAGATCTTTTTCGGTCGTCGAACGTTTCAAAGTTTAGAAATTTTGAAGCATTTTACTGTAGTTGATTATTTATATTTCAAAGAATTTTTTTTTTTTGATTTCAAATGAATTCAAAATAATAAAATATTTCGGATTTTTATACATTCGTTTACAATAGAATCGATTTTATTGTGTTTCACATATTAATTCAACAGGTATTGAAACAAACATCTTTTCATTTGACTAAAAAGCTAGGAAGGAGGATATGGATTTGGACATAGTATCTGTTAAACAATCAGATCCATAGCTCACATCGTCTCAATAAATAGTTCGTATAATACTGGATCAAACGTTGCTTTTTTGACAAACACTTCATGCTTTATAGGAAGTTCAAAAAACATCTTCAAAAATATGACAAAAATAAAATTTAGTTCAACTAAAGCTTCTCTTAAGATCTTCACCTTTACCGAAC